GGCTTGAATACTGTAAGACTGTGTTAAAAAAACAAAAACAAAAAAATAGCGGCTGGTAAAAAGTTAGAGTGGCCAGTATAAAACTTTTTCTACCAGCCACTGTGGCTGGTGGGGAATTTTTTTAATTTCCACCCCTGATGATTTGTTGTCTGTCATTGTAGCTGGGATAATTTTACTTATTAAAGCTCATAATCTTACCACTTGAAACATCACTAGCCATGAAGCTGCTGGTAGACACCGCGGTTGGAATTATCAAAGGTTTYTGACACCTGAGAGACACCGTAGCAACTCCTTTGCGTTTGGAAGCGGGGGGTGGGGGTGGGGGGAGGACCTGGGAGGATGATTCAACCACTCAACCAATAGATGTCGCTGAAAACAACAAACCCTACACACTGTGCCTTTAAGCCTTTTTAATGTTGAAAATTTCTGATTAGCTGTGGCAGCCATCTTGAACTGGGTTGACTCCAGAAGTTAATCAGTTTTAGATCATTCAGTGAATACTTTCTGAAAGTGTTGATGAGTCATGAGATTGCTTTATTAACAAACAAACAGGGTTGACTCTAATGGTTAATACAGAAGTTTTATTCAAAACTGACAAGAGTCATTTTTGTATTTCTTAAAGTCAGTTAGCTGTGGCAGCCATATTGAATGGGACTGAAGGTAATGGCGAATCCCTGATTCTCGCAGGGATACTATGTTCTTAGAGTAGTAGCGAATTGTAAAATAAAAAGTGAATATCGGATGCGGTCCGCAAGGCCTACAGCATGTTTTGGGACAGCATCATAATGTGGTACAAACCAAACAAAAACACATGTGAGCTAAACAGTTAGCAGCTATGCACCACATGATACTGTTAGAAGGCAGAAATGTTTTGCTCCAGGCAAAGCGTGTGCACAGGGCATGTGTCACACACTGAAACGTGTATGTTAAAATTTATGTTACCAAATTAGTAAATCATTTTGTTCTTAATGATTTAACTTTACGAATAAACATGAGAAAACAAAACTGACAGTCCTTATTACTATAGCCAGTGGTGAGCAGCGCCAAGTCAAAAGTTAGCTCTGCAATTTCTAAAGCGCTTATGAAAATATTTAGGTCCACAACATCATGACCGCTTATGCAGTAGAAATACAGGTCCTTCTCAAAAAATTATCATATTGTGATAAAGTTCATTGTTTTCTGTAATGTACTGATAAACATTAAACTTTCATATATTTTAGATTCATTGCACACCAACTGAAGTAGTTCAAGCCTTTTATTGGTGATTTTGGCAAAAAAGTAAAGAAAAATCAAAAATCCCTATCTCAAAAAATTAGCATATTTCATCCGACCAACAAAAGAAA